AACTGTACCAACACCAAGGGATCGTTCTACTGTACCTGTCATACGGGGTACTCAGGAAATGGAGTCACGTGTGTTGGTAAGTGTAACAAATCAAGGATAGCTTCTCTCTATTTTGTAATCCTTCCCTTTAACTTCATGAAATAAAGAACCACCTTAAATCTGGAAGAATCACCAGTTTGGCTCCTTATACTAAACAACAAATTAAAAGCTTAAGGAAAAGGGAAAAACGTAGCAGCGCTGATATTTAACAAATAGATCTCATTTTTCCGTGCGTGTGTACTCTAATAGATACACAGATGACGTCAAAATGTAGTGAGAACAAAAAAGTACGCACGAGACGCAGTCGAGTGCGTGACTGTTGTTCTCACTACATTTTGACGTCATCTGTGTATCTATTAGAGTACACACGCAAGGAAAAATGAGATCTATCTGTTTTATACAACAAACAATTAGTTTTGACGTAATCCGTGTATCTATACTTTGATAAGACACGAAAGCCAACCAATCAAAACGTCTGATTTTACTGAAAAGTTGTATAAACTTTGATAACACATGAAAGCCAACCAATCAAAACGTCTGATTTTACTGAAAAGTTGTATAAAAAAAGATAGACAAACGATTCAATTTTAGTGGTACGTTTATTCACGACACCATTGTTTCACATGGTTCAGACAACATATACATCAGGTCATTTACACAATAACAGTTACATTGAAAACGTGGTATGTATATGTAGTAGACTTGTATGTAACATTAAGTTTGGAACAAAATTTCTAGATTTTTAACAGGGTAAGGTAAAAATACAGTAAAGGCTTCTTTTTATAGATATAAATGAATGCAAAACTACTGCTTTAGCAATATATCACAAGCACTATGCTCACAATTGCCATGCTTACTCAAACTGTACCAACACCAAGGGATCGTTCTACTGTACCTGTCATACGGGATACTCTGGGAATGGAGTGGCATGTGTAGGTAAGTGAGATACTGGAGTACATACATTTTAACATCAGATTATTCCTTGATTAATTTGTTATGATTAATTGATTGATTGATTGATTGATTGATTGATTCAGTTTTTCCATTTTTCATTCATTATCCAACATCTTATTTCTCTCATTACTTTAATTCACTATGATATTTAGTGTTGTCTTAAAAAGCACTTATTTTATTTTTCTTCTGCAGACATAAATGAATGTAACGTCACTGGCTTAGCTGTACATCACAGTCACTACGCCCATAACTGRCARAATGATGCTAACTGTACCAACACCAAGGGATCGTTCTARTGTACCTGTCATACGGGYTACTCWGGAAARGGAGTCATATGTTTAGGTAAACGAAAACAATTAAAACCCGAAGTTGAAAGAGTGATATTGAAGTCTCTGAATACATGT